ACACATGTATATGCAAATGCAACCTGCTGGTGCTGCTGTGTGGGTCCCCTCCAGCCATGTTTCCCTGCTCCAGAGAGCAGCAGCAAGAGTGATGAGGGGAGTGACAGCCACGTGGGAGCCTGTGGGCTGCTTGTTAATCCCTCGTGGGCTGCCAGTTACAGCCCTGCTTTACACCATTTCCTATTCTAGTACATCTGCCACTACTGCATATCATGTGGGCTGGCTAACTTCTGCCTTGGGTAAGATCTTTAGGATCTTGCAAATTGTGCTACTGCTCCAGTTAAAAAGGGAGATTCTTAAATTGAAAAAATATTGTTAAAAATCACCGGAAAGTAGGGCTGGAAGGAACTTCAGGAGATCTAGTCTGGGTTGACAACCTTTTACCAGCATGGGCCACAGCTTGTGACCCTTCTAGCTGCTTTGGTGGTCCCTGCTCTATGCAGAGGACCATTCTATTACTCTCCTAATGTAGTCTCAGCTGAAAAAGCATGCCATGAGAAACTGGTGATCAGCAGTTAAGTGGCTGATTTGGCTGTAATGGTGAGCAGCCCTCAGCCAGACCATGGATGGCTGGAGCAAACACAACAGATTGGACAGCTGAGTCTTAGTGTACCATTAATACCTCAGGCCACATCCAGTCTCTTTGCAGGCTGACCCTAATATTATCCAACCCCCTGCTCAAGACAGGCTAAACCAGGGGTGGGCAATTATTTTGGGCGGCGGGTCACTTACTGAGTTTTGGTAAGCCATTGAGGGCCACATGACAGGGAGCCAGGGGCAAACAAATAGTAATTTTCTAAAGTTTTTAGGGGCCCCGTAGGCTGGATAGAATGGCCTGGCGGGCCGCATCTGGCCTGCGGGCTGCGTTTTGCCCACCTCTGGGCTAAACTCTCCTTGTTAAATGTTTTAACCTGCTCTCAGGAACTTCCAAGGATGGATATTGCACAGCCTCTCTGTATAGCCTGTTCCAGTGCTCAGCTTCCCTCAGTGAGAGAGTTCTGCCTACTATCCAGCCTACATTTCCCTTGCTTGAATTTAAGACTGTTGCCCCTTTCAGAATAGTCTATCTCCATTCCTCATGTAACCACCTTTCAAATATTTGAGGACTGTTATCAAGTCCCTCTTCAGTCTTCTCTTCCCTAGACTAGGTTATTCCTGTTCTTTTAACCATTTAGCTTTAAATCCTGTTTCCTAGACCTCTGATTGTTTTTGTTGCTGTATTGAATTTTTTCCAATTTGTCTACTTTTTGAAGCATGGATCCCTAACATGGACAAAGTACTCTGGGTGTGAGGGCCTTATCAGTGCCAAATTAAGCAGAAGAATCCCTTCCCTCGACTTGCAAGTGACACTCCTGTTAATACAGCTCAGTGTGGTATTGTGGGGTCAGGTTCTATGTGAGGTCCAGTACTTTTTCTGCAGTACTGCACCCTAGCCAGTCATTTCCACAGCCAGTATTTGTACACGTAATTGTTCCATCCAAAGTGCATGGCTTTGCCCTTGTCCTTACTGAATTTCATTTGATTGATTTCAGAGACTTTCTCCAATTTTTCAAGGTCATAATCAATACCTTCCAGAGTGCCTGCAACTCTGCCCAACTTTGTGTCATCTGCACATTTTTAAGTGTATGCTCAGTCCCATCCTCCAGATCACTAATGAAGATAGTGTATTTTGTCACCATGCAGCATGTTCCAAAATAAGATACATTTTTTTTTTCAAAGTCTGAATGAAGAAAAAGGTTTTTTCCTTGAAAATACAGGAAGTAGCAATAACTGAGTAGAAGCTTCTGTAACTGGCAGGACTGGTGGTTCTGTTTTGTTACATGTACCTGCCCTTTAAGTGGGTTTCTACTTGGAGACCAAAAACTGTCATGATAAATTTCACCTGCTTTGATTCCTATAGTGCTATATAGTTTGCTCAGATACAGATCACCTGAGGGAGGAAGGAGATTTAGTTCCTGAAAGCACATCTAATGTCTTTCCCAATTATATAGTTCATCCAATAAAGTGTATTACCAAGCATATCCGGATTACTGTTCAAAAGCATTCAGTGGTTCCTCTTTCCAAGGCCATAAAGTCAGGTTTTTTCACAGCTTGTGTATGAAAATGATCTTGGTATAAAGGTAATTTGAAAGCTCTCTTCAAAGATCGTCTTCCTGCTAAGTTTCAGTTTTGCTGTCAGAGTCCTACGACAGCACTGGAGCAAGTGCGCCAGCAGAAGCTGCTCGTAGCTGCCACAGGCGTATTCTGCGAGTTCTGCAGGCTCCAAGTACAGTTAGTTCTGCTGTACCATTGGGACTCTTCCAGTTTTCAGCATTGAAGCTGTACAGGATGCTCATGCCCTCTTTCTTGGGCAATCACAGATTAAAGTATGTATGTGAGTGGCTTATCGTTTCACTTCAAGTTTTTCTCCTTCCCTGCCTTCCTTCTTGAGAGAAAACAGCAGCTACATTTCTTCTTGTCCTCATAAAGGATACCAGTTTTCAGAGTGCCCTGTACCTGCACACACCCCTTGCTGCAAAGGGGTCAGAAATAAAGGTTCTTGGTATCTATCCACCTCTCTTTAAAAAACGAAACCCACGAAGTAATCTGTCAGCTCTTGGCCTGCTTTCTTCAGGGTGGATAATAATTAATCTATTTTATTCCAGTCAGTTTTGTAATATATTATTCTTAAAAAGCTATGTAAAATTATGACACAGTAATGCCTATATTATGATCTATTTGAATAAATAAAAATATGAACCAATACATATTTGTTTGGATTTTTTAAAAAAAATTTAAGCCACTGAATTGCTGATTAATCATCTGGAACTAGTTTTTGACAGCAGGGGTAAAGAAAATCTTTTCTTCATTCAGTTCATGTAATTCAAGTTATTGACTAGTTCACTCAAATTTGAGAAATTATTTGGGATTTTATTATTTAACAAGGTAATTTTATTTAGCTAATCAAAAGTTCGTTTTACACTTTTCTAACGAAATTCCAAATAAAATTTAAGACCAATATTAAACAGAACAAAATGAGACAAAGGAAAAGTATCATTTTAGTTAATTTCAAATAAATTCATGTTAAGGTATATAACCAGCGTGATAAAGATGCATAGTTATAGTTGATTATTCTAGTCAGAAAAAGAAGTTCTCAATTCAGTAAGAAGAGTCTGTTTATCAGCATGTTTCCATGATTATCAACATTTGTTTAAGAGAAATAAATAGAAAATATAAATGTGTATACCAAGGTTTTTGCTTAAGGTTTTCTGCTTGATGATTTAAATTATGATTATATTTTAAATTATTCCACCTTACTTCCCTGCATCTCTTTCTTTTAAAAGGGCAGCATTTTTCTGCTCCTTTTTCTCCCTTTCTTTAGGGAAAATAATGGTAGGTCCTGTTACCGGGGGGGGGGGCAGAAACTCTGCCTGAAATCAGGGGTTTAAAGCATTGAATATGTTGAATGTATTATAATTCTGACATTCTGCTGATTAACATGAGCTATTATTCATCAAACATCTGCTTTGCTACATACTGAGGAATCTACAGTATGTAGTGATTTCTTTTAAAAAGTTGATTTGTCCAGTTTTATAGATAGGTAGAGGAAAACCCTGTACTGCTTCTCCAAAAAGCTTAGATTTAGACTTGATAGACAACGCAACGCAAATAACATTATAGGCTAGACAGTCAGGTATTGGAGGGCCTGGTTTCAGGAATGCTTCAGGGTTGGTTTTATTTAACTGGCTTTCAGGAAATCTCTCCCGGAGTGTTTTCAGGAAGGATTTGAATGAAGGTTGTGATGTTGTTATATACAGGCAATCTATGTAATGTTGAGGTGGCAGGCTGGGTGTAAAAGGAAATGGGTGGGGTGAGCAGCACCAGCTAAATTTTCATGCTTTGTTAAGTATGCCTACAGTTACTGTGTTACCCTGGACAATCTTAGATAAATCTCAAGGTATTTTTCACACCCCCCCTCCAAGTACCAGCTTTTCACAAAAGCACTCTAATGCTGTAGTGAAGGCTTTTGTTACAAGCCCAAAATAACTACAGATCTGTGAAAAGCAAATACCAGATTTTCACATTTGTATTTTTGGATATATTTTCTTAAATTATTTTGAGAGTTATTACTGTTTTGTGGTATGTTAACTCTTCAGTGTTAGCAAGAATATGCAGTATAGTTTTTAATGATTCTTGAGTTTCAAATGAATTAAATCCAGTTTTTATAAAGTTGTATTAAATACGATGTTCACTTTAGCCGTGAAGAAGTCAGACCAGGGCATTTTGGAGACTTTAAAGATGCTGAGCTCCAGTGTCTAAATAACTTCAGTAGGATTCATAGGAGCTCTGTACTTCTGAAAACAACTTCTGATTTTTAGTAATTGTTTGTATAAAAGGCTGTAATTATACAATAACAATTTGCTGTTATCATATAGCTCCAAGAAGAGCTACTTTACCCGATTCAGACATACACCCATTTAAAAATGATACATTTTTAAGTAAAGTATGCTTTTGGGCTTTTGAATCTGAGTTTCATTTTACTTTAGAGTGTGTACTTTTTCCACATGAGGAAAAAAAAAGAAAGGCCTTTTAGCTTGTAAACTGTTGTACTTTAAAATGTCATCTCAGTTTGTTGCTGTTGGAACAGGAATATACTAACACGTGCTGCTAAAAGAAATCCTCATGAGTAACTTCTGTTTAACAATAGCAAGACACTCGAGGGACAATGGTATGAAATAATTTTTCCAGTACATTGTCAGTTCTTCAGTAAACTGCATTTAAACTGTTAAATATAAACCATTATATTTTAAGTGTCTTTTAAATATGTGCATTTACCAAGTCTGCTATCTAACTGTACAACCGTTACTTGTGCACTGTGCAGTCCAGAATCATTTTGTTCTTTTTTTCCTTTAACATAATAAATGCATACCTGAACACAGATGTTTATTGCTGTTTCAGGGCTTGTTTAATCAATCACGCATTGCTATTTATAATTTCCCTTTCATTTGATTTTTCTGTAGGACCCTTAAAACTGTGCTATGAATGGTGATTCTGGTGCAGCGGTGGTGACTTCACCACCCCCAACAACAGCTCCTCATAAAGAGAGGTATTTTGATCGAGTTGATGAGAATAACCCAGAGTACTTGCGAGAGAGGAATATGGCACCTGACCTTCGTCAAGATTTCAACATGATGGAACAAAAGAAGAGAGTCTCCATGATTCTGCAAAGCCCAGTAAGAAAATGCAGTGACTGTCTTTAGAGAGAGAGATTATATTCTTTAAATTACACCACAACGTGTTTCACACTTTTGTAGAAATTTGAGAGGCCTAAGGCTTTTTTTTGATAATCTAGTCTGTCTCCCTGTCCATTTAAAAGTGTTCTTTGTAGTATAATTTCTTGTGTGTTATCCAGTATAATCTTGATTGTTGCAAGTGATGGGTCTTTGCTGAGACAGTGGCTGCCTACAAGCATTCATTTCCACCACTGAAAATGATTCAGGAAGAGGCAACTTTACAATATCCCCTCTTGTACAAGCATTCAACCTGCTTCTTATGCCTTTCCAAGACCAGAGTGATTGCAGTTTAGGGAAAGTGTTGGCTGTTCCAGTCTTCCCGTTCTTGGGGGACCTGGAGCAGCTGGGTGCACAAAGCAGGCAGGGGTCTCATGGCACTCCTTCCTGCTCAGCTCCTGGTGCCAGGGACTTTTGGTTTTTGAGGAGCTAGTGTGGAGGCAGCTGCTCCTCCCTTCCTGTCCTGGTCTACAGGAGATGTGGGAGCAGCTGCCCCCCATGTCTTCACCTGATCTCTGGGAGGCATAGCAGCCTCATTCTTGTGAGAAAGTTTCTTCCAGGAGTGACTTCTAGGTGGTTGGAGTGTGAGCTGCCATTGGAACTGTTGGAACTGCCGTTTTTGTTCCAGATGAAAGAGCTGGAGAACAGCAATTCTCCCAGGAAAAAGGAGCATCTTTACATGGCCATTGCCACACACTCACTGTTGGGTTAAATACCAAACAGAAGTCTTCCTCAGTTTCTTCATAATTTCATCCTTTGCTCTTGCTTGAATTTCTGTTCTTCCATTTTAAATATCTCCTTTCTTATTAGTGTTTGCATCAGATAATTGATAACTATTACAGCTCTTTAATTGTTGTTTAACCAGGCCAGAAATATTTTTTCTGCTTAATTTTCCCTTTCCCTTATAACTTGGCATATGCAATAGACTTATTCTGAAAGGATAGCCAGGGGCTAAAATGTGATTGATTTAAAATTTGTGGTATTTAGAGATGTTTCCTTGATGAAATGCATGCTCTTTGCTAAAATGGCATTCCTTTCTTTCTGCAGTTTAGTCATTGCATAACTACTGAGTGGGTTTAGAGAGAAAACCTTTTGTGAAATGTCTTTATTAAAAAGAATCGGGATGCACATTTGTGATGCTTTAATTATGGTTGTCACCTTTCAGATGGGCAGCAGCCGTATTGTACTGATCTGCCTGCTAACACCACTGTTCTAATTCATTCCACCGCCTCCTAAGCTTTTTCTTTCCACTTCATGTCTTACCAGTCTCCTTCCCAAATGAGGAATAGAAATAATAGTAACAGTCGTGGGAAACTTCTTGTGCCAGAAAAAGGAAAAAAACTGCAAACAAACCATAAACCTAGAGTGTAGGCACAGACTTAGATACGAGTGACTATTTTCTTCTCTGTTCTTAGATGCCTTAATGGTTCCTAGAACTCCCCGCTTCTCCTTGAGACTTCTCAAGGTGATTGCATCTCCTGCCTATTGTTCCAGGAATGCTCCTCATAAGCATGCCAGAATTTCCCTGGTACCTAAAGTGAGTTTTCCAAATTCATATAACCCCTTGGATGCCCCAAATCTCATGCAATCTGGAATTTCAAAGAACAGAGTTTTAAAAGCAGCAGCACAGGCCCAGTAATTTTGCCTCCGCTTTGACTGTAGGCAAGAAATAGGAAGGTGTATACAAGGCTTACATCTGAGGAGTGCTAAAAAAAGAGGCAAGGGAAAGAGTGTGAGTAGTTTTAAGTTCTTTGGCTATATCATATTTAACAACTTGCAATATTTTATTGGTAGGCATTTTGTGAAGAGTTGGAATCCATGATCCAGGAGCAGTTTAAGAAAGGAAAGAACCCAACAGGCTTATTGGCTTTACAGCAGATCGCAGATTTCATGACAACTAATGTACCAAATGTGTATCCAGCGGCACCCCAAGGTGGAATGGCTGCCTTAAACATGAGTGAGTGTACACTGGTCACTTCTGATAGAGAGTCTGTAGTTCTGTAATGGTATTTGAATTATTCTTAAGAACAGTTGAAGTAAAGGCATAGTTCTGTGAAGAAGCTGAAATGCCATCCGTTTTGTTCAAAGGGATCTTGTAAAAAATAAAACAAGTTAATTAACTGTAAATGCTGGAACAACATGAAATATTGTGATTCACATGCATTTTCTATATTAAAAGCCCTTTTAAGCATGACATATTAACTGAAAAATATCCTCTTGCTAATAAATCTACAGTATATTTGAATAATGCTGTCAATGTTTAGATGTTTTCCAAATGGACTATCCAATGGAAAGTGAAATGCTCATTATCAATGGTCCAGTTAGCAAAGGCTAGGAAGTTATACCACTTGTGAAAGTAATTATTTTTGCCCTTTACACTGTCTTTGGTTTTCTTCTTTCAGTAAGAGCTACAGGAAGGCAAGGTGTATATCATCTATAGCCAACAGTGTTTTCTTTCTCTTGTTTACAGAGTTTAATTATGTTCACAAATGTTTTAAAGTGGAACTGTGTTTGGGAGTTGCTTGACTGAGCAGCATAGCCAGGGTTTTGGTTTTGTTTCTGAAACCACATTTTTAAGGTCCTTGCAACATTGCAAAATGGAGCTGTATGTTTAGGGTCATGTCACGCTAAATTGTTTTGTACAGTTCTAACTTCAGTATAGTAGCATCCATAATAAAATTTGGCATAATCCTTCCTCCTCTGAGTGAGCACACTTATTTCTAGTAAGCAAGTATGATTCGATATCAAATTAAATGAACAGTTGCTGATTTCCAGGCATACAACAAGTTTTTCCATTTGATAAAGTGAAATATAAGTGCTTATATTTTCCAACGTCAACCTAGATTTTTATTCTGGAGGAATTTGGTCCATTTCTAAGGTTTGAATTTGAGACACTGACAAAATACTACATACATTGGGGTGTGCTAAGTCGAGCCCACAGGCTAGATAGGGCCCACAGTGGACTCCATTTCCTAGCAGCCCGTGGCAACGGCTCCTGGCCGCCACCACCGGCCCCAACCCCACTGCCTTGGCACCCCAGCCTGCCCACCCCACATCTACCACCAGGGGCAGAACCTGTGCCAGCTGGCTGTGTGACTGGGTAGCTGAGATGGGCCTGTGGCTGGGAGTGAGATGGGCAGGCAGGGGAAGGGAGACCCTGGGATCTTGGGGCAGACCAGTGCCAGGACAGAGCCATAATTCATTGCTAGCACATCCCTGCTATGAGCATAAATTCTGTGGGCAAGGGCACAGGAAGCAGATCGCGGTTCTGTCCTGGCTTTGGCCCTGCGCCATCACTGCCTCAAGATCCCCACCTCAGTCCTGGAGCAGCTCCGCCACCTGCCTGTGCTGCTCTGGGCCGGTCTCCATGGAGCCCCCAGGAGCAGTGTGGCCATGATTGTGCAGGTCCAGGGCAGAGCCCCGGTTCTTTGGTCCCATGCTGTCATGGCCCCACCGCTCTCTGGGAAATGGAGTCTGGCTGCTGGCTGGATCTGCCATTTTGCCCACCTCTGAAGTACATGGTGTTGGTGCCATCTTCATATTTTTGGGAAGCAAGCTAATGGTAGTTTGACTCTACAAGGAATAAGTCACCTTCTCAAATACGTTATTATTGTAAAGTGTGAAAATAGAAGAATAATGGCTTGCTGGTAACCAGACTGTAGCACAAATTTATTTTGGTCATCCAAACAACAAAGAAACAGCATTACAAGAACAATCACTGGTTTTTATGCTATGTTATGTTTTAATTGCTGTAATGACCACATGATTTCCATATGCTTTTTCTTCTCTTTTTTCCATTCAGGTCTTGGCATGGTGACACCAGTGAATGACCTCAGAGGGTCAGATTCAATTGCTTATGAGAAAGGGGAGAAGTTATTGCGATGTAAATTGGCAGCTTTCTACAGATTAGCAGATCTCTTTGGGTGGTCACAGCTTATTTACAATCATATAACAGTGAGTATTGGAACAACAGATAACTAAACAATTTCCCCATACATAAGGGGAAAGTATATCTGCCACTAATGTAAAACAGAAGTGAAGTGGTGTTGAAAGCAGTAGAATAGTGAACAGATTCATCACTGCATCTCAAGAATTAAGAATAGAACAACTTGGATGTCAGCCAGTTTATCCTGAATAGAGTCTTAAGAGACTGTACATGAAAGTCCTCATGATGAAAAATGGTTTTTGAAAGCTCAATCTTGTAGTGTCTTAAATTAATGGATAATTTTATTTGCAATTCTGTAAAGTAACTTTTTAGGGCTCTCTTTCAGTGTAATAAAATGTCTGTTTTATTAGGCATTCAATTAAATATTATTGAAAATGGTGAAAATTCCTGTAAATTCTTGTAACCCTTTCTGAGAACCAGAAAACCCTGGTACCTTTGATCTTAAAACAGTGGGACTACTTAGCTTATTATTCTGTGCCAGCTATCTCCATTGTGACTGAATGAGTAATTACTGGCATCTGTAGTGATAATTCTTGACAGAATGACTAGCAGGGCAGGAAGGTTTCATATGTCAGATGAGGAACCAACATGAATATCATGAATAAAGCCACAGCTGTAGTGGACAACCTAGTCTATTGTCTTTATAACAGAACAATTGTTTGTGGGTTTTCCAAATATCTAAGTTGCTGGGGGGCTTTTGTGTGCTACAGAGGTGGTCCTTAAAATGTTTTAATTTGCTTTAAAAACTGTTTTTAGTATTTTAAATAATAATAATGACTTAATTACTAACAGTCATTTATTTACTTGATAATCCAAAATATTGAATGAACAGAAGGCAGGGCAGCATGGCACCTTATAGACCAACTTATTCAGAGACATATGAACTTTCTACTTATAAACAGACTTGCAGAGAGCAGGGATACCAAATGGAAAGGAATAAATTAATTTAAATTCAAAGAATAGGCAAAGGGAAAGGAAAAACTGAGAGGCAGAGGTGGGTTAAAGAGATCAAAAGGGGTGAACGAAGTAGTTAACTCATTGAAGGACATAGGAGTTACCAAAGACAGTGGACAGCTTTAGTGGACAGTTTATAGAAAAAAATGGTAACCTATACCTGCATCACTTCTCATAGATAAGAAGAAATTTGAATGAGATGAAAAGGAAGCTTAGAAAACAGGTTTGGGGATGGATTTCTAAGCAGACAGTTCAGTCTTAGAAGAAAGTGTGAATACATTTGTGAAAATATGTACAGAGGTATGTCTCTGAAAGCTGACATCACTGTTGGAAATGTGAGTATGTAAAGAAGCCTATGGTAAAAAGGCAGGCATGGGCTGCATCAGGTAGGCTCTCTAAGATAAGGACAAAACGTTTTGTGGTTAGTCTATAATGGAATGATGAACCAGTGAAGTGGGGAGCATTGTGAAAGAAACTGGCACTCGCAGGTGTGATAGCATTTTGAGTGGATTGTAGAGATTTAGGGAGCGTTAGAAGATCCTGGAAAAAAGAGGTGTAACAACTGAAACAAAATAGAATTCTCACTTGGAAGAATTTGACTACCGGCACAAAAAGAAACAGGCAAAATTTTAGAAGGGTGCAGGAATAACACAGGACTTAGCCAATGCCTAGAAGGGATGTGAAAGAAGAGGAAAGGGCAGATCATAATCCCCCATTTGTGAAGAGGATGGGTTTGTTTTCAACTACAGCGGCAAATAGAATAGTGGGTTGCATTTCATAGTTTCATAGTTTCTAGGGTCGGAAGGGACCTGAGCAGATCATCTAGTCCG